AATATATGTAAAAGATTTGTATCTTTTAGATGTGATGATTTGCCACATTTTTAGAGGAAAGTTAATGTTCTTAATAAAGAGAATTGCTATTTTTCAATTAACATACATGCTGAATGGTATATAAAACTAGGAAACTAGCCAAAAGTCAGTTTTTCATATTATAAAATTTATATCGCCTAGTCGACTAGGCGACTAGGCACCCCCAGTGTCACCCAGAATTGCCTAGACGCCTTGAAAACTATGACGGCAAGCTGAAATATCCTAAAAATGTTGTACAATGCGAGTCAGTGAATGATCCTACAAAACACAATTATTGGGTTGTGGTGCTTCTTGAGTTTGAAATGACTAGTAGGACTGATTTGGGGGGCAAATTTTTGGAATGTACTTGAAATCCAGAATTGTAACAGTCATTAATATGGCACTTGCTGTTGTAGTTGTTGTGTTTTGTCAAGGTGCCATCTTGTCACCTCCTTTTTGTAATCTTTTTATCTATTAATAAAACTTTTATTATTACTCTTCAAAAAAAGGAACATACTCCATGCTATCTTTGCCTTTCTACTTCCACTTAGAACAGGCCATAGACCAACTATCTCTTTCAGCAACCTTGGGGACAACATATCAATTTTGAATAATCCCCACTAGTTGAAGGCCCCTAATTCTGATATGATCTTGAGTAAAGATACAAATTATACAATCCAAAGAAACCAACCATGTAAAAGCCTCAACCCTGGGAGGAACTCGATTCCCCCAAACACATTTAACATCCGATCTTTCAACCCGATTTCTTGCCAATGCTTTGTAAAAGGACTTTACAATGGAATAACCATTCCTACTCTCCTTCTACCATCTTGCTTCAAACCTCTCTACTTGAATTTCTACATCATGCAATTTAGACAGCAGATGTATACACTCTTTCACTTCTAACCTATTGACTTGATGACTTGGAAACTTTGAAAAAAAAAACTATAAATAATCTAGTTAACAATTTAAAATGATTAGAGCCACATCAAAAATGCAAAATAATGAGATTTCACCCATGACACAAAATTTAGAAACAAAAAACAAGAAAAAAATGGAAAATACTAGACTCAATTTTAGGGCCCAAGCCCAAGCTCAACCTTAGTATTGGTCCTAAGTTCAGTCCGTCCTGCATAAGTTGCAGCCCTACAACCCCCACCACAGACACAAAATGAAGAGGAAAGACTCAATGACTCGTTATTCTAAGAAAATCATATTTGGAAAACTTCAAAGGCTAATAATATTTCTTTCATTCAAGGGAAAATGGTTTGGAAAAAAGGGTAGCAACATAAAACATCATGGCCATGATGATAAATGTTAAAAAAGATCAAAAAACAAGTGGAGGAAAGAAATGTCTTAATGGTAATAGAGGAAAGAAATGCCCCTTCTTGGTCATCCTTACAAAATGATCAGTTACCATTTAGCAATCTTTTCTACCTTATTGAGGTAAGATGGTTGCCAACGGCCTACCAGTTGATGGTACAAGCAGCTTTATAGAAAATATATGGATTGTTTAAGTTAAGGCACGCCTTGGGAATATTGTGCCTACGCATTGACCCCCTTTTTTTGGAGGATCAGCATTGCCCGATGGCTATTTTGTGGCATTAAAATGGTCATTGTAAGTTTCAAAACTAAAATCTTTAGATATTCCTAAGCTCAACTTAGGTTACTCTTTTTATTTTATGTTTTCCTGTTTGAAAACCCATTAGAAAGATAACTCCAGTATTGTAATCCAATATAAGGTTTGTATTGTAACAGAAACTAGTTTCCAGTGGCTTTTCTAATAAAATTCATTATTCTGTCCTTAAGGAGACCCTGTAAGAAGAACATTTCCTAGCCATCTATCCCTCCCTTGTCCAGGGGTATAAGGGGGTCACCTTCATGAAGTGGCTGAAAACTCTGAAACATGGTGGTCTTTCTTTAGGCAGTATTAGTGCTTATGTTTCTATAATTTCAGTTCATATAGGAATTATGTACACAATCAGCGTATCTATGTTCTCTAGTTCAATTTCTTTTAAAAACTGCAATAACAAAGAATCCATTAGGGAGCATTTAAGTAATCGTTAAACTAATAATTATTGGTAATGTCAAAACCAAAAAAAATAAAAAGGGAAAAGTACCAAAAAGGCTTGATTTTAATTTTATAATGCCACGAAGGATAGTGCAGGATTTTTCTTTTCAAATTTTCCTTATCTCTAAAGTTATGTTTACTAAGTCCTAAATCTAGCATAAACTCCATTTATATTATGCCAATATTTTATCAGTTAAGAACAAAAAGAAGAATATCTCTTATATTCTTTCTCCCTATTATGATGATTGCAATTTAGCTTGTAGAACGAACCATGTTGTAAGAAATCCAGATGGATAAAGGATTAATTAAATAAGTATTAAAAATGAAAAAAAAATCAATAGAAAAGTTTACTGGATGTCTAAAGGCCGCGTTAGAAATAACAGAGTGGAGTTCGAATACAAAGAGAAACTAGTGGGAACAAAGCTCCAAAGGAAAAAAAAAAAAAAAATTCCAAAGATTTTAGTCCATATTTTCTCTTAGTAAGCAAAAATTCAGAAGTTTCATATTCCCAAATAATTAGAAAAAGCATATGAATAACTAAGAAAGGAGAAAATCCAAAGCAAACCCACTCCCATAATCCTAAAATAAAGTAACATGGGAAACTTAAAAATAAGAAAATCCAATTATTGTGCTACAGTTCTTCAAAAAGACAACAAATGGACCACTAGAGTAAAATTAGAAACTTTAATTGCTAATGGAAAGGGCACCGGAGTACAAACAGAAGTTGTAAGCCAAACTACAAACCAGTGCCATGACCAAATCAAAGTAGAGATATCTAGAGAAGTACAAATAAATCAAATGAGAGGACTTACAGAGATTATTCGGTTGCAGTCGAACTTGATCAGACCAATACCTCCTTCGGAATCAAAGCACCTAATCTCATCGACTAAACCGGGTTTTAGTGAACATAACCATGGAAAATGCAAGTTGGTCTTCTTAACAAAGATTGAACTTCTCCCCCGGTGCTGGTTTGGCTATTAAGTTCACCGGCGGAGCAGGAGCGGTAGAGAGACGAATGACAGAGGAGAGAGAGGTGCGTACCCTTCGAACCACGGAGGCTCGGCTACTGCCTCTTCCTTCTTTACGAAGGTTTGATGAAAAGAAAAGTTGGGAAAGAAAGAGACATTAGATGCTCGAAAACAGCGTCTTTTATTCTAGATTTCCATCAACTAAAGCGGAAGATATATCTTCTTTTGTGTTTGTGCCAAAACTTAGGGTTTCACGCCCCAACTTGTGCTTGTTCAAACTTTAATTGCCCGCAATACCCCTCCATCTATACAATTTCACTGCTTTGCTATTTCTCATACTTTGAAGGGTAATTACAATGGGGTCAGTGACAAAATCCCCGATACTTTTTTTTCAACAAAGACTCCCTTAACTTTCGCCCTTAGACAAAGACCCCTCATCCATTAAGTTAGATGCCGAAGGTTGTAAATTACCAAAATATTTCATTAAATTTTTTCTATTTTCTTTTTTTTTGCCACTCTTCCTGGAAATTTTCCAATAGGTACCCTCTACTTTAGGTCGAGTGGCAATTTAGTACCCAAACTTTAAAACACGACAATCTAGTATCCAAACTTTCATTTTGCAACGATTTAGTACCAGCGTTAACTCACCATCAGTCAAAAGACAAAAAGACATAATTACCCACCAATTGTTTCAAGCAATGCATGGATTCATTTTCAAAATGACGAAAATGACCCCAGCTATAATCCTTTCTCTGCAAGTGGGAACACTGTTCACACTTGCAGTTACCTGAGATTTTGAAAACCAGCTCCTCGCACCGGTGATTTCAAGCAAATGCATCACTGGAAAAGTTGAAACCGACGCTCGAATGCGATGCCAGAAAAGTTGAAATCGAAGAAACTAGTGTTGTTGCCAAAGACAACTCTTGTTGTCATCGTTGGAAGAAATTGCATCCCCTTTTTTTAACTTAGTCGTTGCCAAAGAAGACGACTCTTGTTGTCAACACCGAAAGAGACAACCAGGGTATGGTTTTTATGCTATTGTTCTCTATCATTTTATATTACATCAACTTCGTCCTGATTTTAATGCAAGATTTTTTAGGGTTTTTCATTCCCTTAGTTGTGGACACATTGTTAGATATGACCAAGATCCATGAATGGCATGTGTTGAAGTAGGGTTCAAGGCTTGTAGACATGGTTTGATACATCCGAGATGGATGAATGGCATATGTTTAGTAGGGTTTAATGCTGTGCACGGGGAATGTTTCCCTTTCCTTATATGATCGGTCATTGTTAATGGTGGTTCCCCACCTTGTCTGCCAGACATGCATTTGTCTTCATAGATAGAAAGTAAATGTACTTACTGCACATGTAAAGTGGTTCCCCACTTTATTGACTTGTTCTTAGCTGCCCAATCCTTGACAAGTGAGACACCCAAGCCCTGACCTATGGTTCAAACCTATGGTGTAGACCATGGTTCAGTTATATGGTTTAGAAACATTGGGCAGAACTGTGGTTGAGACAATGGTTTAGACCTGTGGTTTAAACCAATGGTTCAAAACCATGGATGTTATATTGGATTTTATAGTGTATTATATCATTTATTATATTTATTTGCAGATGTATACTATTTTCATCCACCACGGTGGCACATTCATTGATTTACCACCACAAATCTACTGTGGGGGTGATGTTACTGTATGTAACAATGTTAATGGTGATTTACTTTCATACATTGAGATAGTTGGCATGTTGAAGGACTTGGGATACACCGGTCATTGTCAAGTATGTTACAGAAAGCCAGGATATGGCATTGATGATAGATTGGTCATGGTTAACGACAAAGATGTGTTGTCCATGTCTACAGCACATGGAGCCGTGGCTCATATAAACCTTTATGTTATACATGAAGCACACAATAGTCATGAGGGTAATGAGGCGCGCACAACATTCAGGAGGGTAATGAGGCTAGCTCTTCAAGGCCTAGGATAGATGAGTATGATGACATTAACATCCCATTGGATGGAGTAGATATTGGTGGTGATGGAGGATACAACAATTATCATGATGACTATTCCACTGTTAGTGGTCTTAATGAAGCACAAAATGATCAGATTAATGAACCACATCCTCATTTTGTTAAAGAAATGAATGTTCTTGGGCCGGAGTTGTTAAATGATTATCATCAATCGAAAGAATTGCATAGTCCACATGCCTTGGATGATGAGAGAGGTGCACAATATGAGTCATTTATACCAAAGAGGCAGCTGGATTCACCCAACTTGTTGGCGGGGATGAGATTTTCCAACCCAGCTACATTTAAGGAAGCACTAGTTGCCATCATACATGGCATACAATTTGATTATGTGAAGAGTAATAAAGAGAAGGTCACGATAGTTTGCAAGCAGAAGTGTGGCTGGAGGATTCATGCATCTTGGATGCAAGACCAGGAGTCTTTCCAAATCAAATCTTTCAGTGACAAGTGTGAGTGTGCACAAGCACTAAGGAATGACAAAATGTCATTGACATGGCTAGCCAATAAATATAATAACAAGTTTATTGATGATCCTGGCTGGAAAGCCCTTGCTTTACGCAATGAGACTCTAAGGGATTTTAGAGTTGATATTAGTAAGCGGCTAGCTTACAAAGCCAAGAGAAAGGCAATTTTCCAGATTGAGGGCATACATAGTGAATAGTGCAAGTTGTTGGCCGATTACTATCATGTCTTTCTGAATTCAAATCCAGGTAGCATTGTGAAGATTGGTTTCAAGGAGGGGGTCCTTGGACAATTTGAGAGGATATTTATTTGTTTCAATGCAATGAAAGTTGGATTTTTGGAGGATTGTCGCCCATTCATAGGGCTTGATGGCTGTCACATGAAGCCACCTAACTTCGGCCATATCCTCTCGGCCATTGATTTAGATGGGAATAGCTGCATAATCCCAATTGCATATGCTGTAGTTGAATCTGAGGGCAGGGAGTCATGGACTTGGTTTTTGACTTTGTTGTTTGACGCAATTGGAGGACTAGAGAAGCATGGTTGGACCTTTATTTCTGATAGGCAGAAGGTGTTATAATAGTACATTTATGTATTTTACATTTTATATGTGCATATATACATATATATTTACATTCTTACTTGGATTTATGTGTTATGTTGCAAGAACTTGTGGAAACTTTTGAGAGGTTGTTGCCGAATACTGAGCATCGCTTTTGTGTGAGGCATATGTATGCCAACTTTAAACTTCTTTTCAAGGGGAAGGATCTAAGAGATTGCTTATAGGGGGGTGCTAATGCATATACATCTGCCGAGTTTGACTATACATGGATAAAATGAAAGAATTGAACAAAGATGCTCATGATTGGTTGAGAAGGGTGTCCCCGGCATTATGGTCCAAGTCAGCCTTTGGATCAAGAGCCTGTAGTGATGATATTTGTAATAATTTCTCGAAGTCATTCAACAAATGGATATTAGATGCTCATGACAAGCCTATTATTACACTGGTAGAGACTATCAGGAGGTAGTTGATGACTTTAGTCTAGACAAGACATCAGCAACTCACAAAAGACAATGGACTTGTTTGCCCTAATGTTAGAAAGAAGATATAGTGGTTTGAAGAACGTGCCTGGAACTATTTTCATGTATATGCTGGGATATCCACATTTGAAATGACCTATTTCGATAGGAGAGCAGTTGTAAATCTTGAGAGGAGAACTTGTTCATGTCGGCGGTGGGCAATCACATGGATACAATGTGCACATGCAATTTCTTGCATAAAGATGTAAAAGGAAGGTGTATACAATTACGTTGATCCCATTTACACCACTCAAAGATGTATCCATGCCTATAACAAAATAATTGTCCGGATCCCAAATGAGTCTCAATGGCCCATTGTACATCAACAAGTACCTGTCACCCCACCTTCCATCATGCCACAACCAAGAAGGCCAAGGAAATCAAGGAAGAAGGGGCCCAATGAATTGATAAGTGGACACAGTGTGACACAGAGGGGCAGATTTATGACATGTTTTAGATGTGGGCAGACGGGACATAACATCAAAGGTTGTAGGGGCCGACATTAGGGAAATTCTGAGAATAGGGCTGATGATGTTATGGGAGGTGGAACTGCAATGGGTGGGGGTCAGGATCAAATATAGGCCCATCATAAACATCATTATCGTTGAGGGCACAAAGACGACCTCGGGGTAGAACCACCAATACGAGGGGTAGATCATCGACATGTAGAGGTGGGTCATCAAACCAAAGGGGTGGACCATCATCTCATAGTGCTACATCAAGTGTTGAAATTCCTCACCAGATTAATTATCTACAACTACCATGACCCTAAGTGCCAAATATAGTTGTTGATTTTTATTCTTAGGTTGTATGGTCTCTACTTTACTCTCATTACAATTGTATGCCAATTCTAAGTCAAGAGTTCGGAGATAGACATTAACTAACCTTGGTGTATGAACATTGTTGCAGGAGAGCTTTAACATCGATGGTGGTCCTCCTACACAGTAATATGAATGGTTCTGGATGGTGAGATGAAATTCTAACTTAGGTCTTAACTTTTAGCTTTGATGGTTACTTTTGCTTCACATTTGACTTTGTTTTGTTTGTTTGTAAGGGGTGAATGATGTGGTTTTCCAATCTATATTAAAGAGAGATGGGGGTAGTGCAAATGGGTGATAAACCAATCAGTTCTCCCCTCCCCCCCCCTCTCTCCCTTCCCTTACTTTCTCTATCTCCCCCACTTTCTCTCTCCTCTCTCTCACTCTTTCTGATCAACCAGTTGATCAGAAATCTAATCAGATACAGAGGTGGGAGAGGGAGAGAGAGAGGGGGAGGGGAAGGGAAATCTAGTGTGATCAGATTTCCCCACCCTCCCTTCCCCTCTCTCTCTCTCCCCCTCCCTCTATTTCNTCTCTCTCCTCTCCATCTCCCCCTCTCTCCCACCTCTATATCTGATCAGATAAAGAGGAGAGAGAGGGGAAATCTGGTCTGATCAGATACTCTCCCCTCTCTCTCCTCTCTATCTCCCACCTTTGTATCTGATAAGATACAAGGAAAGGGAAAGGGGAAGGAGAGAGTAGAGATAGAGTAGAGGGAGGGGGTGGGGAAACCTCATCAACTAATAAAAAATCTGATCAGACTAGATTTCCCCTCCCCTCCCTCTCTCTCTCTCTCTTCTCTCCTCTCTCTCACCTCTGTATCTAATCAGATATAGGGAGAGGAGAGGGAGAGAGAGGAGAAAGAGTAGAGAAAGGGGGGAGGGGAAATCTAGTCTACTGATCAGACCGGATTTCCCCTCCCCTCCCTCTCTCCCACCTCTATATCTGATTAGATATAGGGAGAGGGAGAGAGAGAGAGAGGAGAGAGGAGAGACAAGAGAGGGGAAAGGAGAGATAAAGTAGAGAGAGGGGGAGCCAGATTCCCCCCCCCCTCTCTCTCTCTCCTCTCTATCTCTCCCCTCTCTCCCACCTCTGTATCTGATTAAATACAAGGGGGGAGAGGGAGAGAAAGGAGAGATAGAGTAAAGGGAGGGGGAAGATAGAGAGGGGGAGGGGAAATCTGATTAGACCAAATTTCCCCTCTCCCCTCCCTCTCTCTCTCTCTCCTCTCTCCTCTCTATCTCCCCCCTTTGTATCTGATCAGATATAGAAGAGGGAGAGTGAGAGAGAGTGAGAGGAGAGATAGAGTAGAGGGAGGAGAAGAGAGAGGGGGAGGGGAAATGATCATATACCAGATTTCCCCTCCCCCCTCTCTACCTCCCTCTTCCCTTTCTCTCTCCTCTCCCCTCCTCTTTCTCTCTCTCCCACCTCTGTATCTGGTCAAACACAAGGAGAGGGAGAGTAAGAGAGATAGAGTATAGTGAGGGGGAAGAGAGAGAGGGGGGGAGGGAAAATCTTATCAACTGATCAGAAATCTAATCAAACTAGATTTTCCCTCCCCCTCCCTCTTTCTCTTCTCTCTCCTCTCCCCTCCCTCTCATCTCTCTCTCCTCTCTATCTCCTACCTCTGTTTCTGATCAGATCATATTCCCCCCTCTCCTCTCTTTCTCTCCTCCTCCTCCTCTCCCTCTCTCTCTCTCTCTCCCATTTCTTTCTCTAATCTCTCTATCTCTCTCCCTCTCCCTCTCTCTCCCCCCTCTCTCCCTCTCTTTCATTATTGTTGGACACTAACCATTGATGCCTCAGCTTTGTCGCCATTGGAACTTCACTAATTAGTTGATTAACTTGAATACAATGGCAAAAGGAACAACAACTATAATAGAGCTACTACGTTCTATTAACCCTTTTCCATCCACAAAGGGATCAAGTTCCAAACTACAATTTCATCAGGATACAGTTCATTAACTACTTCTTGTACATATAACTCTAATTCTTGTACATATACATGCCAAAAAATACAACAATTAGCACAATGAGTAAAACCCTCATGGTCTTTAACCCTTCAGTAACTACTTCTTGGGAGGACTCCATAGCCTTAATACAACAGTCAAAACTAGCTAACAATTCATGAAGCTCTACAATGCGGCTTTCCAGATGATTCGTTGTTGAATTGCCTTCATTAGAAAAAGTTTGTGGGAACTACCCATTGAAAGAAATTACATGGCAGAGGTACGCTGCCCTGAATACAATCAAATGCAAAGAAGTCAGCATCTCATAACAATAATTAATTTGAATACAAATAAATGCCCTTAATTGCTTACAAGATTAATTGGGCAGCTATAAAATATCCTATTCGGATTATAACTTGTTTCCAAAACCCGAATGATAACCCTCCTTCCACATTTACAATCCTTTGGCTTGTATTTAAGATGCCTAACATGTTGACTATCATTTGTGGACTGAGAAGATGACATCCCTACAAACAAAAACATAAAAACCACCAAAATATTCTATGAAACATGCAACTATAATAAAAAAATTTGAAATGATACAAACTAGACAAAATATTCTTTACTTTCTTGACAAAACAAACTTTCACTAGCTAATCTACCATATTAATTAGTTAAGGTATGATACAAATTTTGGTATGGGAATTTTTCTTGTTCATTCATCTCTCTTTGCATGGGAATTTTTCTTGTTGGACAATGTACCGATGGCCAGCACTCAATCATTAGAAAACCGAACCATTTCATGTTCATTCATCTCTCAAACACCACCAAACCATTTCATGTTCATTCATCTCTCAAACACCAACAGTTGCAAAATCAAACATTTTGATAAGTAGTTACAAAACCGAACAAAAAATTATGGAATTTTCCATAAATCATAACATATGCTTATGGGTAACCGAGTGCGGATGAAATGAGGGAGCCTCTTGGGGAATCTCGAGGTGCTCCTTCCTTCGCTTCAGTGGTTGTTGCCTCTACAAATCCTTTTCCTACCATTCTTGATCCACCGGCGGTGGATATTCCTTTGAAGGTACCTTCGATCAAGATGGGAGAACCGACGGTGCTTTTCTTAGAAGAAGATATTGAGAAATCTCTCTCCTCTCTCCAATTTGCACTGGTTGGAAAATGCTCATATGGTCCCCCTTCCCTTGTGAAAATCAGGGAATTTCTGGTAAGTATGTTCAGACTCCAAAAATCTATTATTGTCACTACATTAGATCCTAGGCATGTGCTTCTCAAATTTGAAAGTGAGGAGGACTCCATTAGGGTTTGGCTATTAGAGGATATTTTTATCAAGGATTTTCTTCTAAGATTTCTAAAATGGATGCCTGGGTTGGAGTTAGGGTGGGAACCTTCAATGGTTCCTCTTTGGATTTCTCTACCAATGTTGCTGATTAACCTATACAATGATAAGTACCTGCGATCAATTGTACAGGTAGCAGGAAGAGTAATAAAAGTAGATCTGGCAACTACTCATTTAACCAGAACAACTACGGCCAGGGTTTGCATGGAGGTTGATCTGTTGAAAGAAAACCCTAGTCGTGTTTGGGTTAGGCTCGGCAAGGAGGGTTTCTGGCAAAAAATAGTTTATGAGAACCTCCCCAAATACTGCACCTTCTGCTTCAAACATGGTTATGGTGAGGGGGAATGCAAACTGAAACTGAAGAGAACTTTGAAATCTGAGGGAGAAGTGGCCAAGCCTAAGTCCACTTCAGCTCCAAAGCCTGTAGAACTTGAACAAGCACCCAGGAAAAAACAAACTGTGAAGCAGGTTTACCAAGAGGTTCGAAGAACCCCAACAACTGTCCTAGAAATTGAAGTGATAGAAAACCCAAATGCAGAAGAGATCCAAACTCAACAAAATGAAATCCTAGAATAGATGATAATACCTACAGAGGGGGTGCAAAAATCCTTTGCTTCCAAAGATGACACTATTTTGAAGCTTGTTCGGCCAATCAATCTGAAGACGATCTCCTTTTTATCTAGGAAGCCTGACAGGATCTGGAGTCTTGAGAATCTACAAAAATCCAAGTTGGAATTAGACGAAAGGCTTTCTCGTAGGGGGTACAACACTGTCATCAATTCTAATGCCGAGTTGCTCGATAAAATTATTGAAAGAGCTCAAGGTTCCTCCTGCACCTTATCTGAAGATGAAACCGGGTTAGAGGTGGAAGAGAACTGGACACAGGTGGTTCGCAAGAAAAGGGCTCACAAAAAATATGTACAGAGTGAGAACAAACCAGTTACCAGATCGCAGATTGGCAAAGGTACGATTACCTCTAAAGTTTCTTAATGAATGGTCTATTCTGGAATATTAGAGGGATTGCAAATGATCCCTCTATCACTCGTTTGAAAAAACTTTGCAAACTACATAAGTTAGGTGTAGTAGCAGTGTCTAAACCCGTGATTAGGGATGATAGACTCTCCTAGATTTCCAGGAGACTCAACATGACTGGTTTTATGGTTAATATCAGTAGTAAAATTGTTCTATTTTGGAATAGCTTTTTCTTTGTATAGTTGATTGAGGATTGTGACCAAATCCTAACTATGAAAGTCACCACCGCTGCCAATGAGATATTTTTTTCTTTTTGTGGTTTATGCCAAATGTGATTGGCTGGAAAGAGTGTCTCTTTGGAACAGAATTTGGAACTTAGCCTCTGGTATTTCTAAACCTTGGTTGTTAGTTGGAGATTTTAATGTGATCACTTGTAGAGAGGAAAAAGTGGGGGGGAAGAAATCCTGATGTGTTTGCAATGGAGGATTTTGTTGATCTAATAAATGCCATAGGCCTAGTAGATTTGGGTTTCTCTGGAAGTAGATTCACCTGGTGCAATAATAGAGAAGGCTTGGACTATGTTTGGGCTCGTCTAGATCGAGTTCTGGTTAATTCTAGCTGGGCTCAATCCTTCCCTTTGAAGCCTGTGACTCATCTTAATTGCAACTGTTCAAACCACTGCCCTCTGGTTTTTTTCTATTGAGGAGGAAAGACAGACAGGTCCCAAGCCTTTTAGGTTTCAGCAGATGTGGCTCTCTCATCACTCATTTCACACGATTGTTAAGGATTGCTAGACTGAGGAGGTTCATGTCAATCCATTGGTGAGTTTATTTCTCAAACTACATAAATTAAGGAGTAAACTCAAGCAATGGAATTGGGAGGTTTTTGGGAATGTTCATCAGGTTGTGAAGGAGGCAGAAGACAGGGTTCAATGTGCTGAAATGAATAATTTACAGATGAACTCAGTCGTTAGATTCACGGAGCTAAGAGAGGAGAGGAAGAAACTTCATGAAGTTCACAAATAGGAGGGAATTTTTCGGAGGTAGAAATCTAGAATTAAATGGCTAAAAGAGGGGGATTTGCTGGAAGTCATTTTGTGTGTGGTAAATCAGGGAGACAATGACTTTCTTCTGGCCGTTCCTTTTAAGACAAAAATTCAAGAGGTGGTTTATGCCATGGATAGAGACAGTGCACCGGGGCCGGATGGTTTCATAGGACATTTTTTTGTCTCGTGTTGGGATATTGTTGGAGCGGATGTGGTAGAGGTTGTCAAATTCTTCTTTAGTGGTGGCCAGCTTCTGGTGAGTTACATTTCCTCTTTTATTACTTTGATTCCAAAATGCAAGGTTCCTGAAAGTTTCACAAATTTTCGTCCCATTAGCTTAGGTAATTTTTGCTACAAAATTATTGCTAAAATCTTTACTAAGAAATTGGCATGCATTTTACCTAAGATAATTTCACAAGAGCAGGGTGCTTTCATTTAGGGGCAAAACATCATGGATAATGTAGCTTTAGTGCAGGAAATGGTTACAAATATTGAAAGGAAGGTAGTGGGGGGAAATGTAGTGCTTAAACTAGATATGGCTAAAGTTTACGATCAGCTGAATTGGGACTTTCTCTTCAATGTCTTGAGACAGTTTAGTTTCAGTAAAGCCTGGATTGAGCTTATTAGAAAAATGGTGGTGAATTGTTGGTTCTCAGTTCTTTGGAATGGAGGAGTTACAGGGTATTTTTAGTCCACTAGAGGCTTGCGGCAAGGGGATCCACTCTTGTCTTATTTGTTTATCATTGCAGAAGAGGTACTGAGCAGAAACTTGTCCAAGCTGGGTGAAAAGTATCCTACAGGTGTTTATGTGACCCACAGGGGATGCCCTCCTATCACCCACAGTCTCTATGCTGATGACACCATCATCTTCACAAGAGGGTCCAAGAAAGTGTTAGAGAAAGCAATGTCAATAATCCAAAAGTACGAGTAGTATTCGAGTCAATTGGTGAACAAAGCGAAGAGTTGTTTTTTCACTTCAACAAAAGCCTCTCACAGCAGAATCCAAATTATAACATCAACAATGGATTACTTGCATAAGCCTCTTCCCTTCAGCTACCTTGGTATCCCAATTAGTAAGGGCCGTGTGAAAGCATAAGCCTTTGATGGGCTTGTGCAAAAAGTGGTAGCAAAAGTTTCAGGTTGGAAAGGGAAAGTGATTTCAACTAGAGATAAGCTGGTCCTAATTAGACATGTCTTGAGTAGTATTCCTATATACTTGATGCCGGTAGTTGCAACTCCCAAGAAGGTTATCAAGCACCTGGAATAGTTGATGAAAGGATTTCTTTGGTCTATTCAGATTCAGATAATCATCATCATTGGATCACTTGGAGAAAAATTGTGAGACATTTTTCTGAAGGTGGACTGCAAATCAAAAGTTTATCTGATGTCCAAAGAGCCCTCAGGTTGAAAGCTTTGTGGCAAGTGCTTTTTCAAAACTCTTTGTGGGCTGAATTCTTTAGAGCCAAGGTGCTGAAGCATGGTCATTTCTATATAGCCATCCCTCCTTGCTACACTTCTCGTACCTAGAAAGTTAACATGGAACTAAGGGGTGACTTAGTCCTCCTCTCAAGGTGGCTAGTGGGAAGGGGAGAAATTAGCTTCTGATTTGATAATTGGACCATGGATGGTCCTTTAATTGAGAAAGCCATTTAGCTAGATGGTTTAAATTTGTAGTTGAGAGTTTGTGATGTTGTAGATGATGCAGGAATTTGGCACCTGGATCAGGTTAGGGGTTTTCTTGAGGAGGAGGCTCTCAGCTGTATTTAGGGGTCAGGTGTGAAGCTCTCTAACAGCCAAGACAAGATAGCTTGGCTTCTTGAGGCGAAAGGGAATTTTCTATAAAATCAGCTTGGTCCTTCTATAGGACCGATCATCCTATGGTGAACTAGTACAAGGTAGTTTGGAATGCTTTAGTGCCTACCAAGATAAGCTTATTTGTTTGAAAACTTATGGTTGGGAGGGTAGGGGTGGATTCTGATATAAAGGAGTTGGGAGTCCCTTTGCTATCCGGATGTGTCTGCTACCATGATCACTTAAGAGGAAAATATCAACCATTTGTTGGTGCATAGTTGCCTAGCTCAGAAAGTTTGGCTTTTCTTTAGCATATTGTTTGGGCTCCCTTTCAGGGGTAATGAGAGTATTAAGGAGCTTCTTTCAGTTTGGTTTTCAGTAGCCTTAGAAAAAATCAATGGGCTGTTACAGTAGGGCTAATTGCTTGTTTTGCAATCTGGGAAATCTGAAAGAAAGAAATAGGCGTAGAATGGAAAATTTATTCAGATGCTCCAATATGGTGATTTGGGTGATAGTGCGATGGGTTCATGAGGTCTCCTCTCCTCTAAATCTCACCAACAAGGGGAGTTTTAATCAACAACTCTCCTTATTGGGTTTGGGGTTGTGAATTCACCCAATTATGAGTAGATACATCAAGGTGGTGCATTTATTGGCGGTTCCGGAGGGTTACTTTAAATTGAATGTTGATGGTGCTTCTAGAGGAAATCCTGGCCCATGTGGTGGAAGGGATATTATCAGAGAGAAAAAATGGTTTTATTAGTGCTTTCTCTAACACTTATGGTTTGGACTCCAATTTAGTTGCAGAGGCTATGGCTTTGCTGGATGGCTTACACCTGGCGGTTGCTCTTAACTTAGATAAGATTATGGTGGAATTAGACTCCAAACTTCTGATTAATATACACAATGGTACTTGTACAACCCCTTGGAAGCTTTAGGTTTGGTTGTCTCAGGTACAGGAGCTTAGAAATAGATTGGATTTCTTTTGTTTTCATATTTATAGAGAGGCTAACCAACCAGTGGAAGCTCTTGCAAAGATGCTCTTCCATCACACGTACAGAACTTGATTACAGAAAATGGTCTAGGTTTTCCTTTTTTGAGAATTCGTTGGTTCTAGGTTGCCTGGACACTTTATGTTTATATGAGCCAGGCTTCCTTTGTATAGAGCGAGGGGTAAGGCTTCACAACCCCCCCCCCCCCTCCAAGGTTTTCTGCATATCAATAAAATTTCGGTGGCCACCCCTCTATCGAGAGTAAATTTTGGGGCTAAAAAAAATATGCTTATGGGTTATTTTGCGACAAAGAAATAGTATAACATTTTTAGATCAGAACTATGCGCATTTCTGAAGCTAAACATTTTCGGTCGGAAACTAACCGACTACCTTCCCTGTTGCTGCTTTGGTGGAAGCAGCCCCCCTGTATCTTGATAGAATGTCTTCTATCGAGAAAGTTGCATGGTCTGTGAATTTTTGTTGTGATTTGTAAATGTCGAGTGGTAATCAAATCATTTAAAGTTGGTTGTTTTGTGCACTCTGTCACAAATAAGCACTTTTCGTATGTATTATAGGAGTTAATCGCAATCAAACATCATTGCGAGAGTAATCAACAATTAATTGCGAAGTAAAAAAGAAATCGAGTGTGCTCCTTAATTTGGAGGCTCAGTACAAGTGTTAAACGCTGTTCAGAAAGAAAGTTACGGTCATTGGCTAATATTGGAAAGTGCTTCGCGGGTTTGTAGAAAACGTCAAGGTGACAGGATTAAGTATTTCTG